ATATATATATATATATTCCCATTATGGAGAGGGGAAATTTAGCATTTATATAATCCTAAAAAATAAGCACAAATAAAAAAAATTCTTTATGCACAATATTGATACAACCAATAGTATGCACAGATACCTAGATATGTACAACTCCAGTTTTTTCCGTACCTTTTCTATTGCTCCACTTTGAGAAAACTATCACTACATTTTCAGCTGAGATTTTAGGAGACTCCATTATCTTCTCAAAGCCAAAATGAGATATACATTTCATCACCATCTTATATCCAAAGAAAGAAAATGGCTAGATTCTGACCATTTGTGCTTGTGAGAGATGAGAGATAAGAAATATTCTTTACACACATGTGTTATTTTTCTTTTTTGGGAAAGAATACAGTGGTAAAACATTGCAATTAAACTTTATAAATATTTTTGATACAGAGTTGTTAGGATTAAACAATGATTTCTGAAACAGAAGCAAAAACTTTTTCTACTAGTGAACCATATCCTTCATAGGCATAAACTATGTCCCCTTCTCCAGATAAGACAGAATTACTATTATTTACATGAAAAAGTAATTGATGGCAATATGCAGAGATTGATACTCAATGAGTATTGCTGTGTCCACTAATAAAATAAGAGAAATTGGATCCATTTATATTTGGTTTAAACTGCTAAGAAAATACGAATATAGTTTTTCCTAATATAAGATTTTAAAACTTTTTTGTCAAATTTTTTGTTATTCAACTGCTACTAAGTTTAAACTCAGCTATTGCTTTTATATTAATGTAAAATATATATCAACTTCACTCAGTAAAAATATTTCAGTGGATAAAAAAGATAATAAAAGTGTTTAGTTGAGGTGAAGATATGTGAAGCAACTAAAAATACTCTTTTCTTAATAAAGTGGCATCCTAGAAATAAATGTGTAAATCCTGAATAGTTTCTCTAGTGTGAGAACCTGAAAATGTAGATAAGGACTAAAAGGCATAATAGACAATGTGAAATAGGAAGAAAAGGTACAAAGTGGAAGGGGAAGTGAAAGGGGTAGGGGAAAGGAAAGAGGGTTAAGGAATTAATATCAGAAGAAGAAAAAATGGAAACAAAGTTTTTTTTGTAAAAGGGAGGGGTGGAGGGATTGAAGAGAGGGGGCAGGGGAATGGGGAAAAAATAAGAACCAAGATGAATTATGTAAAGGTGCAAATTTCCTATGATGAATGTCCTTATATTGTGTACCTTAAATGTACCAATACAATTAATTAATTAAAAAATAACAATAAAATAAAATGGCATCCGATCATAGGTAGCAGTTCCTATTTGAAGCAACATTAGGAAAATAGTGTTTTGTCAGTTTTTACAGTCATAAAGTACATTACACGTACTTACATATTAGAAAATATATTTAGTAACAAATTCTCAATTATAAAATATTTAAAGTACTATATCCATTTTCCTTTTTTTTTCTAGAGATTTCAAGTATGGAATTTATAATTCTCAACATATTTTAATTCTCTCCCATCTATCAAAACCATGTTTTGAGCATGAAATACAATACTAGCTCTCACCAAGTCTGGATGAGCAACATAAACATATTTCTTAACAGTTTGCAAAGTCCTTACCTCATCTGCTTTTAGACTGAAAATCCACTTTCATATCTACAGATATTTAAAGATTATGAAGCAACTTTATACCTGTGTTCTTTTCTAACACCAGTGTCAGTTTTGTGAAATGAAGTAAATATCTAAGGGAATATTTCAGTGGCTCATGTTTCACACTACAAATGGCTACCAACCATGCATGCACGGTCAAAAGAATTAATGTATGCATTTAAATATACACAACACTTTAAGACATGTTTCTGACTCTACCATCAATTAATAACTCAGAAGATGTTCTATTTTTTCGGTCATGTAGTTTGGGTTTTAGTATTTAATAATAAATGCTTACACATCTTTCCTATTTAGAATAATTGAGTAAAGGCAGTAAAACATACATAGAAACTATTCACAAAGGAAATTTGTTCTTCAAAACTTACTCTTGTTTCTATTAAACATTAATCTATGTGACTATTGCCTTCCTATCATTCTATGAAGTGTCTACTGCTATTTACAAGTTCGCTATTATCCTCACATACCCATTGTAAGTGTTTTCACCAATTTTGTTTACTCGGTTCTTCTAAGACAGTTAAATTTAAGGAAACTTGTCCATTGCCTATATGACACAGAGAAAAAGAGCTTGCTTATATTTGGCAACATAAACATTGCCAGATTTCTCTTCCATCCTCTCACAAATAAGATAAAACATATCTGTAAATAAATATACAGCACTCATATATGAGTCTTATCTGAGCTTCAATATTAAAATGATCAAATAGAAAAAGTAAAAAAAAAAACTTGCAAACTAAACTCATCTGCCATTAATAAACCCCATCTGCCATTTCATGGCACATACACAAACTGCTATAGGAAGATGCCAAGACAATTTAGAATTTCCTTCTACAGGGTCTGAGCCAGAACTAATTTCATTCAAAGAATAAATGAGCAAAGTATTCCTTTGCCAACTGACAAAATGTAATGATTCATGATTAATGGACCCAGGTTTTTTTCTTTGAAGACCCCTCCTTTAAGCATGGCAGTACTGTAATCGGGGCAGGAGGAAAATCTGAAACTTTAAATGTGGGGACAGCAAATCTGATCTATATTTTATGGTTAGCAATGGCTCATTATTAGTAAAGAGAATGATGGATGATGGAAAACACTATCTTTTGAACCTTATACAAAATATGCTAAAATATTTTAAAACATATATCTGCCTTAGGTGAAAAATGCATGTTTTCAGGAAACAAAGCTATTGCTGTTAAATACTTCTACTCTGATGTTTACATCTAATTATTGAAAATGCCTTTACGTTTTACTGACTCCATCACAAAAAATTTTATTTTTTAATTATAAAATGGAATCTTCTTTGATAGAAGTAGCTACCCATCATTGATGTTAGTTGTGGAGTGAAATAGGAGCTTAAATATTAGTAAGTGACTAATTAGTAAGGAATACATATGCTGAAAAAAACATGAAAAAGTTGTATATTTTCACTAATAATAGTAAATATATTATTGAGAAAAAATTAATCAGCTTCCATTTCTTCACCATCCTTGTTGTTAGCAATATCAGTGCCCAGGAAATGTAAGAGTATTTTCCGATAGTATATCAGAACAATAAAATAATTGTCATTGTTGATCAAATTGGGTTTCTGCGCTGGCTCAAAGCATCTTTTTAATGATATAAATTATTGCTTCATAACTTACAATTATATGACTGCTAAGTAGTGGGAGGATTTTGTAAACATAAAATCAATAGAAATATTAAAATATGTTGATCATGTTGTGAAAGGTAAATGACTTGGTCATATATGAATCATATTATAGCATATGCAAACTGAGAGCCAATAAAATCCTCATGTTTAAAAATATTTAATGAAACAAAAATTTAGGATACAGAAACTTTATTGGTCATTAAAACTCTTGCCTTAATAATTTTCCACAGTTATAAAACTTTGTACATATGCATAATTCGCATATTATATAAATAAATATTTTCACCTCTAAAATTAAAATAAAGCCAACATACGTTGTATATTAGGATGAACTATATGAAACTGATTCAAACTTTTCTCACTGCAAAAATGACAATTTATCTTATTCAAGTTATGAAACAGCCAGTAAGATTTCCAGTTTTCTCTTCATTTTTGTTGAAGGAGAAGACTTAGGTTATTCAATCTGTATAAAGTGCTTTAATAGTAAATTGCAGAAACTATGCATTAGTCCTTATTATTTTATCATCATCATCATCACCATCAAAGTTAACAAGAACATGTAGCAGAACTTCCAATACAAATACTTTTGAATGAATGAAAAACTTATAGGATACTCAGTGACAAAAATGGTGTTGATTATCCACATCTGGCAGCTTTAGAGAGAGAAACATTGAAATGAAAAGTTAGTTACTGCTTAATGACATAATGAAGTTATATTTACTTCCAAGGTTCTCATGTGGATGATTAGAGATTGTATAACAGCTATCGGGACAGTGCTTGATTCACAGTAAGCTCTTAGAATAGTTACTTTTGTTGTTTTCCAACAAATGTAATTCACCAATGAGAGTCATATAAAAACCCTTTCCTTCTCAGGGCCCACATATTTGCTATGTTTTGTTTATGAGTGACCTGTAAACTTCATATGGAATATTTTGAAAATGGAAGGCAACCTTATTAAAAAAATTAAAATATTTTTAGTAATATACTGTCAAACTATTGTTAAAGATTTTTCATTAAATTGCTAACATTAATATTTTTAATCCTGATATTAGAGTGTATACTGTGAAAAGCTGTGCTAAATTTATAAATTAACATAGATCAAGTGTTTAGATAACAAGCTAATTTATATAAAATTTATTATATTGTTGTTTCTGGGTAGTTAGTGTGTTCTAAATTGAGTCAGGAAGTGAACAGACTCAATATTTTTTTTTCAGCGTGATAGTTCAACTAAAAAGATAAACTATAATAAATCATGTTAGATCTAATGCTTTCTAAATTCTGTTTTTGCTATTGTTTATTTTTAATGTCTTAAAAATAAGTTATTTTGAAAATAAAAAAAGGATTGAGGGAAAAGAAAGAAATAAAAAGAATATCTAAACCGTTGAATGACCCCGTTTGTTCCTGATAAACTTCAATTACATCTTCTTCCTCCATTCTCAGTTCTTTTGGAGTATGATTATCAGCAATTCTCTGACCTTCAAAGAGAAACCTGAGTGAATTCATTGGAACTCCCAGTCTTTGACAGTATGATTCTTTAAGTTTCTTAAGATGTGTTGTCATTTTCACTTTGAAGTGAGTCTCACTGCTATCCTGTCCAATGACTTTGAGCTTAATGTATTCGCCTTCCTTCTTATCCCCCAAGTCCTCCGTTGAAGCTTTTGCCTCCATATCAGACATGGTGATGGCGACTTCCCCCAGGTCTCCGCACCGCAGCGGACTCGGATAGCAAGACCTTGCTCACTCTGGCGTTGAAGCTTAAATCTGAGGGTCTGGACCAAAAGAAGAGGAAGATCAGCTTTGGAGGCAAGATGACAGACATGGTGAGAGTAGTGACTAACTCCAAAGATGGCTTCATTGAAGAGAAAGCAGTTTAAGATTAAAAAAAAAAAAAAAATCTTGTCAGAAGATCCCAGAAAAGTTCCAATTTTCATTAGCAATTAATAAAGTTACACATGCAGACGTGTATACAGCAGGAAAAAAAAAGTTATTTTGAAGTCAAGCAGTGAAATTACAGTACTTCCTGAAGAAATGTGTATGAGTATAGAGAACTTTGTGTCTTGTAAAGATGTTTGAATAAAACAATAAAAGTATTTTCTTTTCTTTCCTTTCTCATTTCTGTCACTGATTTCCCAAACCTCAATGCTTTACACACAAGAAAATGATTACGTTTTGAATTAGACATTTTGTCATCCTTCTAATTTATCCAATAAATTAAGTATACTTTCAGTTTTAGGCTGCCTGCTGGATGCAATATATTTTTATTATTCTATCTCAAATGCTCCACATTTTCAACTACTGAGTATGTTTTAGGGACTACAATGCTAAGAAATCTATTTGTTGCAAATACAAAAGAAACAAAAAAAAAAAGGGTTAACTTCTGCCTGAACTTTGCATTTTAAATAACAGGCTTCTCAATACCCATATTTCCATTGAGCTCATAACACCATTGTGTTGTCAACCCTTCAGCCTTGGCTATATTTTTGAGAGATAATCTATTAAGATACATTATATATCATGCTAATTCACAAAATTCACAAAGTTAATTCTGATTTTCCAGTTTCAAGTAGGATAAACATCAACCATGGTATCTATTAAACACACTAATTTTTTTCTTTCTGGGTGGTCTGTGGTATTTTGTTTTTCCAAATTTTTGTCTTGTGTTACTTTTTCCTATAGTAAAGTTAAATTGAAATTTTTTTTAAAGTTAATTTAATTTAATACTTTGCCATTTTTAAATAGCTTTTCACATTTTTTAAAAATGATTGATAATGTTTTTCTAATTCCTTCATAGGAAAAAATCTATAGGCAAAGGACTAACCTATACCATCTCAGCCCATAACATTTCTCTTGAAAATATCACATCATTTGACTGCATGAATAGTAAGATACATGATTCATGTAGAGAAACATTACACTAGCACAAGAGGGAAAAACATCCAGTACATAACCCTGTAGCTTCAGGCTGAATAATTAATGCCTAAGTAAATCTCCTTAACAACCCTTTTCCCTCCCAGAAAAGGCTTCCAAAGTGTGTTCCCAAATAAAATCTCTCCAGGGGCACTTCTTTCCCACCAACATCAAAATATACAGAACTTAGCTTTATAAAGATTCTGGGATTGGGCCTAATGCACTCTGAAAAAGAAGGATGAAGATTAAGAAGAAAAGAATCGCCCCAAAGAGCATGGGGGCATCTCCTCATTTAGCAAAACCCACAAGGCCTTGACACCCATCTTCTTGCTTTTTTCTTCCAAACTATATTATTCTTCTTTTTTCTTCTTTTTTGTAATTTCCATCAGAAACCCTTCCTCTCTTCTAAGAATGTCTCTTTTGTTCACATGCATGGTTGATCACATAACTGAGATTTAGTCTGAAGCCAAGTGACATTGCAACCAAGTTTGGATTTTCCATGTTCCGTTTTCCACCCCCTATTGTCAGGTCTTTGATATGTGAAGACTTGGTCACAGAAATGAATGGTTTTTCAAGATTCAGTTCATTCTTCACTTTATCAGACCAAAATAAGACATTAAGTTTGAAAGAACTAATGGTGAATATAAAATAAAACCATAATACTGCAAGAAAATTTTAATTTGCGACAAATCTCATGATCTGATGAAGACTTTGTGTACTTCTCAGTTCTTCAGCACCTGTTCAATTAAATACTGATTTATTCTGGGTGTACCGCAGGGCAGGATACCTATGCTAACTTTAAAATATACAAGTTAATCCTCTTTGAGGACCTAACAGTACTCAAGAATAACCTTGTTTATTGTAATTTAGTAACCATAATTATGTTAACCAAAGCTATGTATTACAATTAAATTACCAACATGTTAATTATTTTTAATGCATAGGGCTTTTGTCATTTCAATGGAAATCCTTAACCAACACTTTTAGGTACCTGGAACAAAACTGTTTATGAAGCCTTGGAGAGAAGGTTTAACATTATTTTAAAGCAAAGTTTGGGTTTTAAAATCAAGTAATCAGCAAGTTGGCCCTAAATGAATAATGTAAACACAACTAAATATTTGCTTTTCTTCTTTTACTTATTAATTACTTTAAGAGATATGTGCAGAGTATTAATGGAATGTAACCATAATACTAAACTTCTGTTAAGGTTCATACTTCTGCATCTTTTTGTGTGTATTTTCAGAACTATTTTGTCATTTAATGTTAATCAATGACCATTTACGTTTTCAATATGATAGAGGAAGTGTGTGATTAGAAGGAACTCAGAAAGATGACAGCAAAACTCAGGCTAGAAACTAGATCTTGTTTTAGATCTATTTATTTTTATTTTCAGTAACAGTCAGATATTACAAAATTAGCCTGATTATTTAAGTGTTCAAATAACCAAATATAGTATTTTATTAAAAATGTAGAAAACTCTGATGATTTATTAAAGGATATACATATTGGTAAATGATCAAAGCATATGGCACTAGTTTGGCTTTCCAAATCTTGAATAATATTAATGGTGAATTACACATTCTTTGCAGTTTAAGCCCCTTCTTTCTCTGATAATATAAACTCCAGGACATCAGTTTATTGGATATTGTTCAATGATGCATTATAATTGCCTAGAATAATATCTAGCACATAGCAAACACTAAAAATATATTTTGGAAATAAAAGTTTCATGAGCCTCATATGTGATTTTTAGTGTATGTAGTAGGAATTGTTGGTTATTATAAGTTTTATGTTTTTGAGTGAGCACAAGTATGAATTTGAATAACTCATTTTTTCTTACACACCAATGAATGTTGGTTGTAAAAAATTATCATCACAACAATAATAGAATTGGGGATGCGCAAGGAGTCAGGGAGGGAAAAGGGAAGTAAAAATGATTAAGAAACAATATGTATATGCACCAATTCCCTAATATAAATATAATTAATATGTATCATAAGTATATACTAATAAAAATGAAACTAAAAAGGGAATAATAAAGTCAAATTCACTTATCATTATTTCCTTTAAGAATGGTGAATTTAAAAAAGGATAGAATAAAGGAGCATAAGTCATAAAAAGAAATTCCAAAATTTATTTCAAACTCTGATGTTAAAGATATCCTGTCAATTATTTTGTTATTTACATAAATAACATAACTAATTGTAGTCTATCTCTGTACAACTCATTCATTCATACAAGTCATTCTTTGGAACAACTGATTAAGATGGAAAAATAAAATTTATACCAAATTCTAGAAAAGAAGGCCATGAATATCAATCGGTTTAATTTACCTTGGCATTATATGTGCATATGTGTGTATGAGCTTGCCTTTGTCTATAGATGTATCTCATATTTTTGACCAATCCATTTTGAAACATTCTTTGTGCTTTAAGCTTTTGTAAGGGTTTTTTTGTTGTTGTTTAATTTGTTTACTATAGAAAGTACACTCTGTTGGTTAAAAACAAATGGTGAAAATTCAAAGCAAATGTAACTAGGAGGAGCGTTTAGCCAAAAAAATTTTAAAAACATACCAACAAGGATATCACTTACTTTTCACTTCTCTCCTCACTCTCTTTTTGGGGGCTATTATTTTCTTTTGCATAATGTTTCTCATTATTAAATTGGATATGTTTCAGCCAGAAATCTCCTCTCACCCTCACCAAATTTCCAGTCTCAAGCAAAATGCAAGCCTTAGCTATATCAAGGCATCATGCATGGACAGTTAGCTAAGTCTTTAAACAAAGGGCATTTCCATCTGTACAAAGTTTTTGTGATTATTTTTTATTAGAAATATAAAAGACATAATTTTGTTCCCATTTTATGGGTTTAAGTAAATCTATTACAACTATACATAGCCCTCATTAACACATTTCAAAAGAATGAAAGATTCCTCAGTGTATTTCTGTATATGCTATTGATACAATAATATTCAAAATCTGTTAATTAGACTTTGAAAGCAGACAAAAACAGGAAATGCCAATATTTATTACCATGGAACTTAAGTTTAAGATAAGTCTTTCTGATTTTGCAAGTAACATAACATTGTTAATTGAGCTCCATAGCATTACAAGATATTCATTTTTTCATTTTATATTTGTATTTATGTGTATTTTCTATTTTTTCTCTGATTTTGGTTCTGTATGATTATAATAGTCTTCCTTTAACACAGGTATTCTCCCTTTTAACACAGGTATTCTCCACGTATTCAAATACGCTTGCACTGAAGCAGTAAATTTAGACATATAAACAGGCATTTTAAAATTATGACTCCGAGGGACAAAAGACACTGATGTTCTATTTTTAAGAATACCTGAGGTTCAAAGCTCTAGAGGACCTTTGACTGAAAAATTATTCAAAAAAGAAAGACATTATACTATCTATTTAAACTTTCAATTATAACCCTTCACTTCTCAAATGAAATAATTGATCTATGATCTTAAATATGAGGAAAAACACAAACTATTCTAAGGAATCAAAAAGTGAAATGTTCCTGAACAGTTGCTTCAGAAACTTTACAGGCTGATATTTATTAAAGTAGCTAAAAATAGTATTCTACTTAAAAATATGTAGACATAGTTCAAATGACAAACCCAGTACGTGAATTTCAGTTTCTTTCTTCTTTCATCTCCAGCTTTGTCTGCATTTTATTGCTCTCACATTTTTAGGCACTCAGAAACATTCATTGGACTAGATAACTCTCTCTTTTAGAAGCGATGAAGATATAACTG